AATTTATCAAACTTGGCTATTCTTGAACTCATATTGAAAATTACGTAGGAAGAATCAAACTCAATTTTTTGGTCTTTAGAGCTTTTCTTGACATTTATTTTATTACTCTCTTAATCCGGGGCTACAATTTGCATATTTTGAATCAGCCTTGCTTCTACTGCACAACTCTAATTTTATTGCCCTGAATCTCGTATATGTTTTAGCACTTTGATACCCTTAAAATTTTCATCTTTTTCTTCGTCAAAGATCAGCGCACCCACAAATTGTTTTCTTTATCATAGATTAGATATATTGCAAGATATTGTTTTTCATCTAAGCATGCGTCGAAGATTGGAGGTGAATCTCAATCTACAACTTGCTAATTTTGGATGCAACTTGCATCAAAATCATTGTTATCCTTATTCAAATAAAAAATCCTAGAGTGATGCCCACTACTTATGGGTGTTCTATTACCTTCTTAATCACTCGACTCTTCACGTGGAGCACAAAGGTGAAAAGGGTTGTATTCTATATCTTCTTCAAAATTATGCTCTTGTCGAGTCATTGCACATCAAATCTATCTATGTAGTTTGACACATCATCATTCCGTTCTCACTCTAGGTCGGATGGACCTAATTCGCACCCCCCGTGATTTTGATTTATTCATGTTAATTCCTCTTTGTTAAGGGCAAGTTGTTGCTGGCTTCGCTTACGCAACAATAGTTTTGTAACCCTCTCTGACAAGTTGTTGACTTTGTTGCGCAGTTGGATTAGATCAGCATTCCCACGCCTAAGATCTCTATAAGCATCAAACGTACTTTAATTTTAGTTTTAGGATTTATTTTTACGGGTTTTAATTTTTTTAGTAATTCTACGATTTTTTATATTTTTTATTTACTATTCACTTGTTATTATTCATAGTTACTATTCACACACTATTATTCAGAAGGATATTTTTATAATTTAGGTATTGTTAAGGGGTATTTTCAAGTGTTAAATGTTTACTTAGGTCTCAAGATAATTTTTAGGGGTTTCATAGGCTTATAAAAGGTTGGATGTCAAATTTTTCTTAATTTACAACTATATTGACACACACAATCCAATTAAACCGCACTTCCAAATTTTATCATAACATGTAATTTTGGTGTAAAGAATTATTAAAATTATCTCAAAATCGATTTTTATATCTAATTATAAAATTTTAAACACCAAAAATGGTAAAAACAAGTAGATCTATAAACATATGAAAATCTCGAAAATGGACGATCTAGATAACGTGTTGCAGGAAGCACTATCTCTGAGAATCAAAATCTTTTTTTTTTTTTCATATTCATTCATCTCGTTGTCGAGATGATCAATTAGAGGGCTTTCCAACATTAAAACAACCTTTTTTAATAGATTTTAGAAGTGTATCTGTAATTTTACATTTTAAGGTTGGAACCTTATATAGCGTTGAGGTTAGCCCACTAGCTAAAAGCTACAGTGTTAGGTCAAATTCACGAGATCGAAAGTGAAGAATTGGATGTAATACAATAACAAAGGAAATTTAAAGCAAATGGATCAAATATTTGATATTTGAGAAAGGATACCGAGTAAACTTGAAAGAAAAGAACGTGTTAATGGATTTTGAGGATTAAATTCTTGGATTCTTGGGGATAGGTAAAGGATGTTTTAAACGGGTGAGATTATATCTCATTCTATCAGTGGTGATTGTGCTTTGTACAAATGATTTTGTATGTTTTAGTTATTCTATTTATTTTATGATTCTACATAGATGTCAATTATTTTATGTTTTATTTATTTGGTGTAATGGGATTTGTGTGGCCGACCTCAAATAATTGAGATAAGAATGATGACATATCTATCAATCCGAAATAGTCTTATTGTATATTTTACCTATATTATCTATATCATGATTGATGTTTCTATTCACTATTCTATTTTTTTCCACTAATTTTGTGAGTGGCTATTTGATCTCTTAGCCAAATCACAATTTGAGCCCATTCATTAACTTGTCAATAGATATTCGGAGATGTTTGATTCGCAAATTTGAATTGATTTCCAATTATAGTTGGCCCCTATGTATAATTTTTTTTACAAAACACTATCATAAATTAGGCCTTAACTATCCATGTTCACAAATTATTGATTTCCACCATTATTGGTATCCACCTTAGGATGCATAGAGAGAGGAGGCCACTACTTAATAAAATGCACTTCCATTATTCCCCTTGAAAACTTTATTTGCGATTTCTTTGTATTGAGAGAGGGTAAGAGAAAGACCTGATCGGTCGGCCGGATATGCTTGGCTCCGGTTATAGATAGCATAGCGGCACATAAGTCATGTCAAACTTTATGAGGAGTAGTTACCATTTTGCGAGTCGTCCCGATAAACAAATGGGCAGGATTTGACCGTTACTGTTTCCTTGAAAAAACAACACTTCCATTAGTCATCTTTAAAACCAGTTGCCATTTCTTCAATGTATTGAGATTTGAGAGAGAGAGAGAGGGGAGTGGCACATCTTCCATTTGAAACACACATGATAAACACACTTAAAAATAAATAGTTCCAAACCGGTTTTTTACAAATTGTTCACACGTACACGCACACACATACCAGCCCTTCCGAGCCCACATGCACCCACACCTACACTCAACACCCCACACTGCCGAGCCCAACCTAATGCGTTGCTAGAGCTCGGGAAAAGTGCTCAGACGGGGACCTAGCTAGCATCCTCCTATCCATTATCCCATTTACGTGAGCTGAGGGATCGGTGATGCAAACCTCTTGGACCCTGACCAAGCCCATGCCTCGATCCAGGTGGGCTCGGTCAGGTCCACCCTTGATGGGTTGGGGCACTACATTCACTGCTTTTTCACACTTGCACCATAGTAACCCGCTTTTGCTCTTGTTCTTGCTCTTGTGGCTAGCGCCTATGGCTCTGGTGTCGCTATATCCTCTTACTCCAAAAACCTTAGGATCCCCGCATTCCGTGGGGGCGGCCGAAAAATTACCGATACTGACCCTCTCGAGCCCGTCGACAGTGAAATTACTGATACTACCCCTGTCGAACCCCTCGGCTGTGGTCACACTCCACTCCACACTTGCCTCACTTGGCTCATAACAGTCACTCAGAGCTGATGGGGTGACTGCCTCCTCATGGGGCCCCTGCCGGAAAAATGACGCATTTGGGTTTGTGGGGAGCCTTCTTGCTGGAAATTCACTTCCGGTGCAGCTCGAGAGCTCATCAAGTGAATCCCTCATGTTGTATAGACTTGAGGTGATCCCAGTTGAGAAGCTCTCGATCTCGAAAAGGTCAGAGCTTGAGTCACTCCCGGCATCGTCCCTCTCGTTATCCAGCAAGCCCCTTGCCGGAAATCCAAAACTCCGACGTAGCCCCTCACCAGAAATTCTGAATTCTGGCGGGCCGTGCAACTCTTTAGATGGTTGGAAAACCTCTATTGAGTCTCGGGGTTTATCGTCGATCCTCTTCTCCGGCAATCCATTCGGTTTTCCGGCGAATTTTCCGGCCATAGGGTTGAGTATCGGAAATGAGAATCCTGCATCAGGATTCATTTTCCGCCGACCGATCTCCGCCCGGAAATGGATTTCCGGCGATTGAGCCTCCCAATTTCCGGCAGGCTTCACCTTTCCGGCGACCACCTTTGTTTCTCTCCCTCTAGCTTGTGTCATCTCTCTCTCACTAGCATGTGACATCTCCGTCTCACTAGCCTGTGACTTCTCTCTCTCACTAGCATGTGAATTTGAATTCTCATTGGGGCCTAGTGTCTTCCTAGAGCTTGAAGGGCTTCCCTCCGTCGAAGCAGCCATGGAAGAAGCTTCATTTCTTGTTTCTGACTTTCTCTCTCGAACCCCAACTGATTTCTTGCCATAACAGGGGCACCTGCAGCTAAAACTCCATTTGCTAGCCCCTTTCCTTTGCGGTTTTACAGGTAAGTTTCTCACCGTAACAGAGATAGAACCAGGGGGATTACATAAAAGCCCGGATTGGCTATTCCAACTCGCCTCTGAGGAAGAAGTTGGGGTAGCATGGAAAGAAACAGACCTGTAATTCCGGCTGAACCCATCTGCAGAAGAGGCTGATGAATCTCGAGGGATCGAAAAATTCAGGTTTTCTCCATTGGTTTTGGGCCTCGAAAGCTCTGAAACTAAGCCCTTTTCAGGAATTCTCTCGAGGCTTGTGCCGTTGAAGTATTTCTCTGCATCAAAAATGCTTATCTCTGAGTAGTTGGTTCTTGTTCGGCCGACGTTCCCTGGTTTTCGTAGGGACGCCGGGATGGGGTTTTCAAGAGTGAGATTGTTTGGATTGTTAATGAGTTTTGGGTTCTGGGAAAATTCAGAGTGTGGGTCTTCCAGAGAGAAGCTGTTTGGCTGGATGGTCAGCTTTGGTTTTGAAAAGAATTCATTAGGTGGGTTTTGTAGAGAGAGGTTGTTTGAATTGATAGTGAGTTTTGGGGTCTGAGAGGATTCATTAACTGGGTTTTCTAGAGAGATGTTTGAACTGATGGTGAGTTTTGGGATCTGAGAGAATTCAGAGAGTGGGTTTTCTAAAGAAAGGTTATTTGGGCTGATATGGAGTTTTGGGTCAGGTGGGTTGGAGATATAAGAAGAGAAAGAAGCATCTCTGAGATGGGTTGTGCTTTGGGAGAATGGGAATTCTCCATTCAAAGATGCTGAAACTGTGTATCTTTCCATTCTGATATCTGCAAAAGCAGGGCCTGTAACTCCTCTCAGAGCAGAGCAGGCTCAGTTTAAGTAGAGTTTTCAGGGTGCTGAGGCTGGCAGGGTTTAAGTGTACATTCAATTCCAAAAAGAATTTAAGAAAGAGAAATAAAAATTTGAGAGAGAGAGAGAGAGAGAGAGAAAAAAAACTAAGGAAAAAGAGAGAAAAGGGATAGGAAGAGGAAAAATCTTCACAGCAAATGTGAGCTCACAGGTTTTGCAACTTGGCCCTAAAGCCAACATATATGCTTATTTATTCCCTCACTCTGCTCCAAAAAGCCTAGGGTTCACCCATGACTTTTAGTGCTCTCTCTCTCTCTCTCCTGTGCAGAAGTCTTGGTACCTTTTGTTTATCAGAAGAAAAAAACAACTCTCTGTGTCTCTTTGATGTACTATTTTTGTTGCTGTTTTTGGTTTTTCACAAGAAAAAAACAAGATGGTCTCCCAAATTTTGCCTCATTTTCTCTGAATAATTAAAATAGCTTCTTGTTTTCTTCTCAGTTCTTATGACTCAAGAGTAAAAATCAAATGCGTGGTCATGAATTTTTCTTTTTGATGCTAGAAATACAAACAATGTTTCAAAGATCGAAATCCCGCCCTGAATTGCCTCGAGTCCAATTCTGATTTGCAAGGTCCAACTCAAGAAATCTAGTATAAAAAGGATTGTATGCTATGAGATCGTATACCATTGCTATATGGAGGTCACAAATCACTCCTAGTCATTAGATGTCAAATTTGATGGCTTGGAGTATGTTACAAGAGCAAGAATATTTTTTTTAACTGAGTCTAGTCAATGGCACATTTGTGACGACCTGATTTAAAATCTGTCGAGAAAGAGCAATTGTGACTTCCTTATACTAAAAATAAATAATTTTTTTGTATACTTTTTTTAATAAAAAAAAAAACTACAAAACTACAAAAAAAATAAAAATTGAGTTATTCTAGGAGTTTTTTCCTATCTCACGATCCTAAACTGTCCTTGGCGATCTCAAGTCGGCTCGACAATTTTTAATTCATTGTTAGAGACCCGCATTCTTCTTCTTGTCACTTCACACTTAATTGTGATATTGCTACTATTGTCTAGTCTTTTATCTCAATATTTAATGGAATATTCTACAACTTCCACCGGCTTTAAAATTACCAATCTCCCCTTTCTATTACAGGCAGTTGGTTTGTCCAAAAGTAGGAAACAGTGTTTGTGACATTGATGGTTTGATGCAGCTCCAAAGACCATAATTTTCAGTCTTTGTCAATCATAAAAGTAAAGAGGATTTTCATTCTCTCAACACCAAAAGAGATGTGATATCATTAGAGAAAGGTAATATCCATGAGTGAAATCTTGAGAGCATCATGATGTCTTCACTTGTTTCACCTGCTGTATTTCTGTTGATGTTTTTCACTTGTTTCACCTGCTGTATTTCCGTGTTTGTGAAATAGGGAAAAAGTTTATTTAAGGATGCAACCTTATAATGTAGAACTATGGATGCACCTCAAAAATCCATCGGAAAAGTTAGTTTTAAAGTTGAAAATTTGATTGATCATCTCTACATCGAGATGTATGACGATGAAAAATAAAAGGATTTAAAGTCTTGAAAAATAGTGCATTTTACAATATATTATTTATACCGTAATTTTCAAGATTTCCATATGTTTATAGATCTACTTGATTTTAACTATTTTGGAAACTTAAAATTTTATAATTAGATATAAAAATAGATTTTGAGATAATCCTTAAAACATTTTACATCAAAATTATATATCATGATAAAATTTGAAAGTGCACCTGACCTCTACAGCTACGGATGCATCCGTATGCCAACTGCACCAGAGAGAGAGAAAGTGCACCTGACCTCTATAGCTACGGATGCATCCGTATGCCAACTACACCAGAGAGAGAGAGAGAGAGAGAGAGAGGAGGGGGAGGGGAGGGGG